AACATATGAACAATTATACACTTTTTCGATAATTAATTTGAGATAATATTAGTTTTATTTTTTGGTAGAAAAGTGTTTCGAAGTGGTCTCCAAAAAAATACAATAATGCGTTGGCGAAGCGTTTGAGTGTAAATGGTTGGGAAATTAATTGTTATGAAATATTAGTTACAACATCGTTTGCAGTATTAGGGTAAAAAATAAGATATTTATCGACCTTAAAACATATTTTTAGAACATTGATTTCTTAATCACTGCCGTTAATGGTATTATTTTTAGATCAGTGTAATCGTTACTGGGTATAATACTTATGTGGTTTTGTGTATAATAAATTAAATAAGAAAAATCGATAACTTCGATTGCGCCGAAGTTCGAAGAGCCTTCATAAATAAAAAAAAGTTTGCCATACAAGAAATTGATTGTGATCGTTCCGATTATATGACTGCTATATGCTATACGATAGTAAAGTATCGTCCGATATCAGCGATTTCGACAAATGAGCAACTTCTTTGGGACAAAACGACCCGCAAAATTTCAGACCGATATCTCAAAAACTGATTAATTTAAAAAGGAAAAATAGATATTCATAAATAAATCAACACTTTCTTAAGAAATACAAACTTTACGATACTTCTTGAACAATCCTAGTATATACAGATCTTGGATCAGTTCATCATCATCATCTATTGTGAATGTTTCAAATGACCAATAAAAATACAAATTATTTTTTTTTTTGTATTTTTAAATCACTTAAAATATATTATATTATAGAATTTATAGAAAACCAAATACAGCAACGTTTTTTAACGCGAAAAAATAATTTCTTTACAAAGAAAGAATCTTAACGCTATTGCGCATGCGTCAGAAGACATTTAGCTCAAAGTGCGGCCCGCTTGTTTGTGCGGTTCGCTACTTTAAAACGCTTGGCAAATTAAAGAAAGCAATTATGTATAAAATTAAGAGTAATAAAGAAAACCATTTAAGGCGTTTCCTGTTTAAAAACCTTCCTCTATAGCTCAGGAAGTCAATTTTTTCATATTATATATATAGTTTATAGGGTCTGACGTTTCCTCTTCTTCTGGTTATTATAAACTTCCTAATCCTGTCGTTAACAAAAGAGAAGCTGACGACTGAATATGGGTGATATAATTTTAACAGTCAGCTTTATAGAGGAAATGACCATCTGACAGCTTGAGGAATAGCAAGCTACCACATGGCTGGAGCTCAACATCAACGACGTAAGGTTGACAACCACAAGGCTTTAATTAATTGTTATAAAAGTCCGAAGTAAGATAAGGAGATACGTACAGATATTCACAATCTTCAACTAAATGCTATGCTGTGCCAATTATGAACTAAGCGAGGAAAATTAACTTTTCACATACTATTAATCAGGACAACATACTAATAATAGAAAAAAATGCTCCCTGAGTTTCATTAAAGTACCTCACATACTATCACCAATATATGGTTTATGGTCAAGCGGATTGTCTGAAAATATTCATATTAGGTATATGGGGGCTAAGGGAAGTATTGATCCGATTCAACCCATTTTTGAAATTCAGACAAATCGTAATTAGAAAAGGACTTTTTCCGAATTTCTACTATATATCTCACAAATTGACCGTTTATTCCGGTAAACAGTCACTGTGGTCCCTATATTCGGTAACTGGAGGCTTGAACAGTTGTAATCCGATTTTGACAATTTTTAGACTTAAAATGGCATACCTCAAAAGCACTATTTGTACATAGTTTTGTCTCAATCTACTCATTGGTGCTTGAGTTGAATACTGGAACCTGTAAGAATCATATGGAATTCAAAATTGTACTTATGTATGGGAAGTAGGGGTGGTTATAGTCAGATTTCGCCCAGTTTCACACTGTAACATATAAATATTACAACAATGTTATGAATGAATTTGGCTGAAATTGGTTGAGTATGATTTCCTCTAAATGTGGGCGCCTACTTTTGACATCTTGGATACAAAATTTAATGTCTCTGACGCATTTAGTTTTGATTTATCGCATTTTTAGTAGTCTTTAACAAAACCGTTACATGTGGAATGGGCGGGATTATCATCCGATTTCATTTTCCATCCATTTTCACCTATCATAGGAAGACTTTAAAAGATTTGCTCCGTGTAAATTTGGCTCATATAGCTCAAATGGCTTAGGAGATATATACATTAAACCTATTAGGTGGCGTGGCGACGTCCACTTTTTTAAGATTTTCAAATCACTAGTGCCCCTCCAGATTGTAATTTCTTCTCCAAATTACAGTTTTGTACCTTAATTTGCTGCTTAATTAATGTCGTTTTATGGGCGTGGTAGTGGTCCGATTACGTATACAAGTCTACTAAAATAATGGTTACTTTAAATTTGTTCTTAGTTACAAATATATTGATATATTAAATGCACTCAATGGGAAATCTATTAAATTAAATAAACGTTCTTTTTATTAATTTTAAAAATCGGGAGCACGCACGAAATCAATATATATGCGATTGTGTTAACATTTCTTTAAATCAAAACCACTCAGACAATATAAACAAACTCATTGAGTTATTGATTTTTAGTAACACTATGGTGAAACCAGAGTATTTCCTCGATACAAATCTACTCAGAATACTCATGTTATTATAATGACATACTCGCACATATTGCATAACAACTAGATAATGTTGCTCAAATGTCGTGCAACAATTTAATTTGTCAAACTTCTGCATTGCGATTCAATGTCAGCATTAATATTAGCTTAACTTTTTTCCACATCCTTTGTATACATATATTTAATTCACATATATTACAAAATTACATATATAAATCAAAAGCTGAGAGTGCAATTGTGACATAATAAAATGGAATAATCCAATGTCAGCATTTTTTACAAAAAACTTGCAACTGTGCACAAGCAAACGCCTGGTACACAAAAAACTTAAATTGATTAATTTTAAGCAAAAAAACCGTTAAAGGGGAGAGAATTCATTGCTAATTCATCAGCGTATAAAAAGCAGCGGTTTAACGTGTTATAAAAAATATTGTACACATTATATTATATATTTATACAATATGTATAAAGTGGAGTTTTTTCAGGTGTAGGACTTTTATTTAAAATAAATAGGAGGAAAAGGAATGGATGAAATAATAATTAAGCTTGATTATTTAGCAATTTTATTTGAATTGTTTGAACGGAATTTCGGTCATGGGATACAGCGTCTTGCGATGTTAATTTTTTTCGGTAGACCTGATTTCCTGTATAACATATATATTCTAATTAATAATATGATGAACAGCAACAAAAAATGTCTAACGAAGACCTAATAAAGTTTATGCATAGATCTCACAACCAACTAAAGCTACATCAATCGAAATTATTGCAAATAATTTACTCAACTATTTCAAAAAAAGAGTTATATCCGATGATAACCCCGCCCGCCCCCAAAGGTTATGTTGAAAGCTACTTAAAGTGTGCTAAATAAAGAATTAGATTAAAAATATTAAATTTTCCAGGAAATATGCTTAAAAAAGTTTACAATGGGACGCTATTTTTATTCTTTTAATAATCCTAATAACAAAATGAGACTAAAACCGTGCCTACTTCTTGTGCATCACAATTTTATACCATGTTTCGACCAACACTTAATCACGAGATTTAAGCTTTTGAATAGATTATCTCACTAATCTACTAGATATAGGACGATTTCGCCATACAAAAATGACACTTGTTAATCTCATCACCGAGGAAATTTGAAACTAATCTACTCGAAATCTCCCTGTGCGACTCTGATTTAACGCCATCTGTTAGTTAAGGGGAATTTATGACATTATCACAGCTGATTTAGACACAACAAATTGTCAAAGTAAAAAAAATTAAGCAAACAAATAAAATAAAGAGTAAAAAATTGATATCAAGTAAATAAGTGAAATGATATATATATGGTAAATGATATTCTAGTCTCGAAATTTTAAAATATCTCAAAAATATTTCTTACATTTTTGACACTTTAGATATTCAATAATATCTCACTAAAGGTATTTTTCAAAATTATTATCAAAGTTATAGCCGTTTATGTGCCGTTGCAACTTGGTCGGTTAAGTTTTGACTTAAAATTTTAAGCGCGTTTTTCTCGAACTTGTCTTTTTCGAAACTATACCTATACTTACCTTAAATTTTTGGAGAGCCTTCTTTATAGACTTCTCTAGATCTTGAACTAGTCATATTCCCAAATTTAAATTTTTACTATTTTTAAAAAATTCGAAACAATCAAAAAATATTTTTAAAAATTATTTTTTTATATGTTTGGCACGTGACAATTTTTGAGACTCTGACTCTGACTGAGAGTTTTTGAAATTTGTAACTTTTATTACATTTTGATTTTTTCCTGTATTCCTGTAATGTTAATAAGGAACTAGTAAAAAATAGTATATAAAAATAAGAATTGCCATTTTTCTCTTAAAAAATTACCTGAAATTCATGCCTCTAGACTAGAAAATAAAGTGGAAACAACACAATAATAAATATTGTTTAAAAAACTAAAAGGCATGCTTTTAAAGCACTTTAAACTAAAAAGTGAAAAATAATTCTTAATATAAATTGGCTGATAAATACTTGTATTATTGTGTGCAAAGCGTGGCATGCTCAGTTAATTTTTTTCGTATATCGGGCATACCACACGCTACACCCGAACTTGGACTTGGAAGAAGACGCAATGAATCACATGAATGGCACAAATTATAGATACAATGATATAAAAGTCTCAACAGGAGATAATAGCTAATAATTACAATATTAATTTCAGCCAACTGTAAGAGTTTTAATTTGCATTTGGGGTAACAAAAGTACCACTTCCTATCTTGCTTTGTTCCTATTCTAGCTTCTCCATACCATGATTCTCAAAAATGATCACACTTACTATCGCACCGCACGAGACGATAATTATTTATTACATATTTTTAGACGCACGTCTGCAATTCATAACCCCAAGCTTCAAAAATTGTGTCTGTGCTTGTTTGTCATGCAGTAAAATATTTTTATTAACAGAAAATCAAGTATTTTTTAACAATTTTCTTACAAAAGTGAGAGAGTCATACTTGAACCTTGTAAAAGCCATCAAACTCATTCCGTTCATAAGTTCATTCCTAAGCCATTTAGTTCCCCTTTAACCGATTGCAGTAGGAGAAAATTTCACTGTATGTGCAGCCCTTGTTGCAACATTCATCATAAACACCGGTTGCGACAGTGTCTCGGTGGCGGCGAGTTTTTGCCAACGTATTCACCTGCCCGCCGTGGATTTCGGCCAAAAAAGGAAACCTGGCATAAGGGAAAACTAGCTCATCTTCCACAACATTGCTACCCAAATCATCCCATTCCACTGAAATTCGACAGTTTTAATTTTTCGTTAACACCAAAGACATCGATGCAACATGTTAGTGATATACAAGTACATACATACAAGTATATCGATATACTCCTGTATATATCGCAGATAGACTCACTTGATTTCTTGAATTTTGTGTTGAATCCATTCACGCAAATAGTGCTGAGCACCGCATCCAGAGCGGGACCGCAAACAGTCCTGCCAGTGCCTTGATGTAAGGCCACTGCTAGAACAAGCAAGAAAGCGCAGATTTTCAACAAAGTCATTGTTATTGTACAAGTATTTAAAAAATTTGTACTATCTGTTCCAACTCTTGAGGCTATGAAAGCAAACTGATGAAACTTAAGATTTCGAGTAGGCTTTTATACTGATGGTTTTACATTAAAGTGTCCTTGTTGTACCCACACACGTTTAGCATAATTTAACCGATATGAGCGATTATGTATATTAAGCTTCATCGAATCTTTGCATATTTATGAGTGCACACGTGATTAACACTAACGATAACTGTAGTAAGATTGAGAACAACTAAGAAGTCCATGAATATAAGTCCCACACGAGTTCATATGAGTATGCATATGAGCGCAGGTGTAAAGAAGTAGTCTCTTAATGAAATATTTATTTTTGTAGAAGGCGTTAATAATTTATTATTAAAGATATTTTAGGATGTGCTATTACAATTTAATTATTTTAAGATAATTAATACCTGGACTTTTTGGATTTTGTATACAGTTTTTTTATAATATTCGTTTATAAGTAAGTATGTACTTTAAATATCATAATCATTTCAGAGTGCCTCTTAGTTTAGTCTACAGCTATGCGTAGAGAAAAATTGTTTATCGACTAACAAATAGGATAAGCGTTGACAAATTCATTTAACGTGAAAGTCAGTCAGAAGATTTTAAAATGTATAAGCCTATTTGCAGTAGGATAACAACTCGCTGTAGGAGCAGGGCTTACGGCAGCATTCATCGTATACACCTTCTCGACGACGGCGAGTTTTGGCCACTGTATCGACGTGGCCGCCATGATTTTTGCCTAAGAAAGGAAAGTTCATCATACCGAAGGGCGACAGTTCTTCAGTCTCAGCGTTGCCTAGGCTGTCCCATTCCACTAAAATTTATTAAATTAGATACAATAGTCCATTATTATGGGCAATAGGGAAAATATGTTACTCACGTGATTTCTTGAACTTTGTATTAAAGCCGCTTTCGCACATAATACTGAGTGCTGCGTCTATGGCAGGTCCACAAACGGCTTGTTGCCCCGAAATATGCTGCAAGCCGACTATGAAGACCGCTAGAAAGGCAACAATTTTTAGCGAGCTCGAAATCATAGCGTCGATTAATTTATTTGGTTGCATGAGTGGGTATCAACAATTAACTCTTATATTTCTACACAACGTTCTGTTGAAACTGTGCAAAGTAACTGATGTTATTTGCAATAATCTGTTGCGCTTTTATACAAGCGTCTTCGCGAAATAAAGCTCACATATTAAATGGGTGCCACCCTGCGGATACGCAAAAGCCCATATGTTAGAGATACCCATTTCATATTTTTTAACCCCAAATTCAAGAACGTGTCATGAATCTAATTTATTTATATTTTGCATGTAATTACTAAGTTCTCAAAGGCAGCAGCATGCAGCAGCAGGCGTAATAGATTCATTAGACACTTAACATTATATATTCTCGCAAAGGTGAGGGAAATTATTTCAGGTGTTTTCGCAATTTGCAAGGCTTAAAGAGGGGGAAATATTTTCAGGTGTTGTCAAAATTTTGTATAACAAGTATATTGCAAATTTTTTTCAATATTCGTTATTCGATGAAACCGTAAATGATTAACAATCATATTTGGTATTTTGGTATCTGTTTACTTTATGTCTTCAAGTAAACTCGCTAAAAACTCAAACAAAGGGGCAGAATTTAGTATTTTAGGTATATGTAGTATCAGCGAGAGTGTCGGAAATCCTTATTTTAGGAATATGCGATCAAGGTTTAAACTGATTTCACTCAAAAAGTCAGCTGGAATAAAGAATATCGCCATACTTAGCGATTTTACTAATTTTATGTCAGCAAATTATAGTATATTTCAGCTTGTACTTTCACCTAATTTTGCTAAGACATTTTTACATATTTACCGATATCCTTTTTGTTTTTTTTGCATTAGCAACAGAGATCTCAATTTTCGGTACCAGGGGCTGGAAAAATTATAGTCTGATTTGGTCCAGTTTCTACGAGGTATGGTTTGTCTTGATGTTCTTTATGGAACTATTTAAGCAAAACTTTAAACGGATATCTAATGGCGCATGGTTTCTATATTGTAACAAATCGTATGAAAATCCGTTTCCAGAGATACATATGTATAAAATTTCAATTAACAGCTGGCGGTGCTACGCGATTCACACTACCTGTGAACAAATTGTATACAACCTCTAAACCTACAGAGCATTATGTATTATTTCCAAATTGTGAAATTTGGTGGAAAGGCAGCTTAGAACCAGAGGATAGACATAGGATTTTCATCTTTTTATGTTAAAAGTCAAAACAATTCATAAATAAAAAATATATATTTCAAATCATTAGCATGTATTCAAACTTCATGTAAGAATCATTTGAATATTTTATTACTTCAAAATATAAAATAAATAAAAACACACAGATACTGTAAGAGCACAGTAATTTAAATCTGTGGGGACTAAGACGAGCTATTTCACGAAAGGCAGCGATATGGCGGTTTGGGGCATCCAATACTCCAACGTACTATGAAATTGCGCGCTATCAAGTGGTTGTTATGTGAACTGCAATGAAACGATTTAGCGTGTATTCGCACTCCCTATTCACGACATTATCCTACTGTTGTGGACTTGGCGATGAATATTGAGAATGGTCAACGAGTATATTTGACGGCTTCGAATGGTGTTCAACGTGGTAAACCTCCAGCGATAACATTGACCAGTTTCTTTACGATCTGCCAAAGAAATCCGTTTGCTCCAACTTTACTTTACTCGGAGTCGCCACATTATAACATTTGGAATGCCCCATCGAATTTTTAACGACGGAAAGAAGGCGATGCGGTTTTTGGTTATACAGATGTGCGCTCTATTGATGCTATTGGTCGTATATATACAGTTCATCCAAAGGATAATGCATTTTTCTATTAGCGGTGGTTGCTGGTAAATGGATGTGGGCCAACGTCACTTGAGAGACTACGGACTGTTAAGGGTATATTAATATATCGTGAAGAACTCAACTTACTAAAAAACTACAACAATCATTGAAGCCAGTATCTCTGCATCTCCAAGTGAGATTCGCACATTATTTGCTTTTCATCGAACCTATCTAACTTGTCACACAAATATAAGGATAATACGTCAATAGAAAATTTACATTACAAATTCGTGTCAGTTCCATAAATCACGATCTTGTGATGAATGAGGAGATACTGCCGTAGAAATAAACGTTTGCCTCAAATCGTCGAATCTGAAGCGCTATATGAAGAAACTTCAGCTGACAATTGCTTAGTGATACATCTGCTGAAGAAATCTCTGAGCAATTTCTAAGGTAAGGAAGTCCTGATTAGCCCGATGACCCTAACCCATATGCCGTTTGAGTTTAAAAGACTTACATTTTCTAACCGTCTCGAATTCGTCACAACCCTTAACAAATCACAAGGCCAAAAAAATGTCGTTATCACAAGATACTTAACCGAAGAGTGTAATATGTGCACCAAAATACATCAACTACATCATAATCATTATAAAAAATTTTTTTCTGTATATTTCTAATAAAAAATTGAACTGAAAATCTAAAAATACAAGAAAATAATAAAAAACGTTAACTTCGGCTGAAGTTGAGATTCAATACATTTCACAGGTGCATTTCATATATTATAAAAGGTTATAAAAGTATCTTTATCTTGATTTTAATCTGTCAGTATGAATAATAGCTATATGCTATAGTGATCCGATCTGAAAAATATTTCCATAGATTATAGCACTATCTGGGACAATAATATGGGCAAAATTTCGCGAATATAACAGATAAAAAAGTTTCCCATACAAGAGCTTGATTTTGATAGATCCATTTTTTTGGCAGCTTAATGCTATAATGATCCGGTCTGAACAATTTGTTTGAAGATTGTGCCGTTTCCTTTATCTACAGCCCGTGCTAAAATTTGTGAAGATATCTGATCAAATCATAAAGTGTTACATACAATGACTTGAGTTCGATCGTTCAGTTTGTTTGGCAGTTATATATATTCTATAGTGCTCCGATCTAGAAATTTTAGTCGGATATTAAGTTTTGTGTTGAATACAAATTCTTGCCGAATTTTGTGAAGATATCTTGTACATTCAAAAAGTTTTCCATATAATAACTTGATATGGATAAGTCAGTTTATATGGCACATATGTATAGCTATAGTGGTCCGATATCGGTAGTTTCGACATACAAGCAGCTTATTGGGGAGACAAGGACATGTGCAAAATTTCAAATCGATGTCTCAAAACCTGGGAGCCTATTTATAAATATTTTTTATAGGGTCTCTGACATTTCCTAATGAATGTCACAAACAGCGTGGCAAATTTGATTTACCCTGTTCGGAGTAAAATGTGAAGTGGTCGATAAAAAGACAAACATGTTTGTGAATAAGAAGAAACGACATTCCTTTTCATACTAATAGAATTTAGTTCATCCGCAAAGAGTCTTGGTATTCCATATGGAAGTTGCTTATCTCATTCGCTTAATTGCTAAAATTTTCATCTCTCGAAATTTGCTCTTTCATATGACTATCGAAAAGCTCTGTTTAACAGTAATTTTTGAAATCATTAATAGATACTTGTTTAATTCATTGATACTTTTAATGCTTGAGCGTGGGGAATTCAATCCATACGAAAACGCAATTATCTTTATTAAACGTTTATTTCATGAACAAAATCATTTTTATGCCACGCTGAAGAGAAAAGTAAATTTGAGTATTTCCTTTATGTAAATAATTCGTCTACTCGTAGCTAAAAGCAATTTTCTTTGTAATTTTCTTCCATTGAATGGTGTCTCTTTATAAATTTCAAATGTTATTATGCAACAGAAATGACCTTCAAGTTGTTAAGGTACGTTGTGCAAACAACAAAGGAACAATGTTTCCCATGTTATTTTACTCCACCCACTGGTAGCATTAGCTGACAGATGCCAAAGTGGTAATTTTCGGTTTTATTGGCCATTGACTATTGGCTGCGTTCACTTAGAAATCAACGTCAGCACTTTGAAAGCATTTCAACTATGCAATTCGATCGTTGAAGCTTTGTCACTCCCCTGTGAAGCTCAGCTCAGGGACGCCCCGATGTCATTGTGACGCAGAAACATTTTCTCAACACCAAAGATTTTCTCACTCAAAATGCAAGCAATATACACTAAAATGCTTGTGTTGAGATATTTTTACTGGTTACTGGACATTGGACAGCAGCGCTTAAAGCTTATGCGAGCATGTCCATTGAACATTGGAAAGCTGAATGACAGCATGAGAATTAGATTTGCTCAAGCAGCCGTAGCAGTAACAATAGCCATGGTAATGCAAGCTCTGTCCTTCAAAATGCAGATTACCTCGACTGGTATCTAACAAAATTGAAATAAAAGAGAGTGGCTGCCCCCAGTCATAATCCATTACATCATAAGCCGCATCAGGTACATGCGTATGACATAATTTTCTTCTTCATCGTGTGTAAGGATTTTCACAGGATATATTGTTGAAACGCTTTTGATTGCCGGTCATTCTGGGTATTTTGCATAACGACCTGTTTGAAAGGCAGAAATCAAAAGTGTGAAATATGAGGCATTGTGGTGATTTTGAATTCATTTTCAATGTAAGGAGTGTTTGTAGTTATTCCGAGTGTGAAAAATTAATACAACAGTACTATATTGTAATTTTAATGATGTCAATGTTCGTAGTGGGAGCGATTTTCACAACTAGATTTTGGCAACCGAAAAACTATACTACATAGAGCGCGGAAAAAATGTATAAAAATAGTTTCCATAATATACTATGAATAAAGATTTCGGTTTTCCGTGGTTCTTCAAAGAAAATCTAAATAAAGCATCTGTATTAAAACTCACATATAAATTCGGTTGAAATTGTGGAGGTATGTGATTTCATCTAAAAGTAGACGATGACACGCCTTTTACCCAATTTTCAAGCCTATTCAAATGCATATATACTGTATTATTAAACCCCAGCTGGGTGTTGAGCGTGACAATGGTTCGAATTTTCCCATCTGCAATCCCAACCTCATCAGAGCGCCAAAGAATAGATCACGAGACGAACTTCTGAAATTGAACCTGGGTATTTGGATGACTATTTAACAGGGCATTCCAAAATTCTCACAAACTTCGATTTCATTTCGAATAACTTATCGCCGGACCTGACTCTGGTGGTCTTTTTTACGAGGAAGTATGGTAGTTAACGTGCCGGTGAGGTCAAAAATCTTACAGGATGCCAGAAGAGAAATAAAAAGCCGCTTTTCAAAGTACACTGTGATTGTTCATCTGATTTATTTTAGAAATTTCAACAAACTGTTAGTCAAAGAAAATGGTAGAACTAAAAAATCGTCTCTGCTCTCCCCAGCAACCATAAGATGCTGAAATGAAAACAACTTAAAAGTTTATTCCATAAAGTTAACCATTTGCCTGCTGAGCAGGGTGCTTCAACAACTCCCTAACCAACCAAAAAACGGAAGTAATAAAAATTACTTTGAAACTGAATCAAAGAAAGCTAACTGGGAATAAAAGGAATAATTTGTGAAGAGATAAAAACTACGATTAAAATGTGCGAGAATAGATGAGCATTCAAACAAATTGTTACAACAAATTATTCAACAAAAAGTTGCACTTTCCACTCTTTCGTGTGACTGCATCAAAAGAATATCGTACATATTTTTGTTTGTTTGTATTTTTACGCATAATTTGCCACTGACCATAAAGCATCTGAAGGCATACATTTGGGAGCGCACAAAAAGAAGCTCGCGTAAGCTCATACAGTCAGTTAGTTGGTGTCGTATACGAAGATGGGCCGATGTAGGAAAACTTTAAAACAAATTATTATACTTTGGGGATTTTCCGCTTCATTCATTGAATTTAAGTGGACGAAGGAGACCAAGTAAAGAATAGTGAGGTTAACAACAGCACAAAAGAATATTATTGCTATGAACTTCAGGCAATTGTGTTGGCACGAGAAAAGGATTATTATCTGAATACTTGCATTTAGATTAAGAAAGTTTATTGTATATTGATGGCTGTCGGTGATAACGCTTAACATCAGCTGAGCCAACTAATTGGGTTTACTGTGCATTAGAAAAAGTGGATTCGAAAATAGAAAGATTTTTTGATATATATCTATATATACAGTACATATATACATATATAACCTTTTATTATTTTTACGAACAGAAAGCCTATAAAACCAAGAAAAAATATTAACTTCGGTTTCACCAGAGCTATAATACCGTTCACAAATGATCGGACAGTTTGTATGGCAGATATATCCTATAGCGGTCCGATACCGATGGTTCCAACAAACGACCAGCTTATTGTGAAGAAATCGTATGCACAGTTTCAGATATCTCTAAAACTGAGGGACCACTTCGCCTATATACAGACAGACGAGGAGACGAACATGGGTAAATCAACTCAGCTCGTCATGCTAATAATTTGTATACTCTCGCAACTTGTTGCTACAGAGTATAATAGCTTTGTTCACCTAGCGGTTGTTTGTATCACCGAAAACTAATCGAGTTATATATAGGGTTATATATTATATATATAAATGATCAGGATGAAGGTACGAGTTGATATCCGGGTGACTGTCTGTCCGTCCGTCAGTCTGTGCAAGCTGTAACTTGAGTATAAATTGAGATATCTTTATGAAACTTGTTGCACATGTTTCTCGGTATCGTAAGACGGTTGATGTTGCTAAGCTCCACAATAAAATAAAAGACTGTGATTTGGTATACAGGATCACATTAGTAAGGGGCATCTGCAATTAAAAAATTTTTTTTTGAAAGTGGGCGTGGTCCTACACCCTAATAGGTTTAATGTGCATAGCTCCTAAACCACTTAATCTATAATAACAAAATCCACCAGGAACAAATAGTTTTAGCACGTCGACGGTGTGAAAATGGGTAAAATTGGGTGATAACCCCGACCACTCCCCATATAACGGTACTGTTAGAAACTACTAAAAGCGCGATAAATCAAGCAGTAAACACGCCAGAGGCATTAAATTTTATCTCTGGGATGGTATGAGATGACGTTATAGGAACCGAGTACAAAATTAGACAGTGGGCGTGACATCGCCCATATCTTGGGATCTGCTTAACCAATTTCAACCAAATTCAGTACATAACCTTCTTTTCATATTTATATGTTATAGTGCGGAAATTGGCGAAATTGAATTGCAACTACGCCTATTTCCCATATAACACCATTTAAAATTCCATCTCATTCTTTCACTTTCCACTATGCAAATCACACGACAATGATTACATCGGGGTTAAACTTTGCGTGAATAATACGTTTAAAGTATGCCACCTTGTGACCAAAAATTATCTAAATTGAACCAAAACTGTTCAAGCCCCTATGTACTGAATATGTGAACCCCAGTGCCTAAAATATCGGTTACATCCGAACTTATCCCTTCCTTACTTGTTCTATACATTTTATAGCGTCACCGCCGTTTTTTCCTGAGCGTTACAAATTTCATGTCAAACTAAATATGTTATATCCTGAACAGGGTATGTTCTCTCGCCATGGT